AAATCCACAATCTCAGAAAATTTGAATATTGTGAAAAGGTGCAATATTCTAGGCTCAAAGTGTCCCACTCTAATCAGCTAATTAAGCCATAACACCTGCAAAGGGTTCCTGAGCCTTTAAATGGTCTCTCAGTCTGGTTCAGTAGGAATCACAATTATGGGAAAGACTGCTGACCTGACAGTTGTGCAGAAAACCATCATTGACACCCTCCATAAGGAGGGAAAGCCTCAAAAGGTAATTGCAAAAGAAGTTGGATGTTCCCAAAGTGCTGTATCAAAGCACATTAATAGAAAGTTATGTGGAAGGGAAAAGTGTGGAAGAAAAAGGTGCACAAGCAGCACGGATTGCAGCCTAGAGTGGATTGTCAGGAAAAGGCCATTCAAAAGTGTTGGGTACTTTCACAAGGAGTGGACTGAAGCTGGAGTCAGTGCATCAAGAGCCACCACACACAGACGGATCCTGGACATGGGCTTCAAATGTCGTATTCCTCTTGTCAAGCCGCTCCTGAACAACAAACGTCAGAAGCGTCTTACCTGGGCTAAAGAAAAACAGACCTGGTGTGTTGCTCAGTGGTCCAAAGTCCTCTTTTCTGATGAGATCAACTTTTGCATCTCATTTGGAAACCAAGGACCCAGAGAATGGAGGAATAATGGAGGAAGAATGGAGAGGGACACACTGCAAGATGCTTGAAGTCCAGTGTGATGTTTCCACAGTCTGTGTTGATTTGGGGAGCCACCTCATCTGCTGGTGTTGGTCCACTGTGCTTCATTAAGTCCAGGGTCAACGCAGCCGTCTACCAGGAGATTTTTGAGCACTTCATGCTTCCTTCCGCAGACGAACTTTATGGGGATGCTGACTTCATTTTCCAGCAGGACTTGGCACCTGCCCACACTGCCAAAAGCACCAAAACCTGGTTCAATGACCGTGGGATTACTCTATTTGATTGGGCAGCAAACTCGCCTGACCTGAACCCTATAGAGAATCTATGGGGCTTTGCCAAGAGAAAGATGAGAGACATGAGACCGAACAATGCAGAAGAGCTGAAGGCCGCTATTGAAGCATCCTGGTCTTCCATAACACCTCAGCAGTGCCACAGGCTGATAGCTTCTATGCCACGCTGCATTAAGGCAGTAATTGCTGCAAAAAGGGCTCAATCCAAGTACTGAGTACATATGCATGCTTATACTTTTCAGAGGTCCGATATTGTTCTTTGCACAATCCTTGTTTTATTGATTGCATGTAATATTCAAATTTTCTGAGATTGTGGATTTGGGGTTTTCATGAGCTGTAAGCCATAATCATCACAATTATGACAAATCACGGCTTGAACTATCTTGTATTGCATGTAATGAGTCTATCTCATATATTTCACCTTTTAAGTTGCTGCACTGAAATAAATGAACTTTTGCACGATATTCTAATTTTTCGAGTTTCACCTGTATTTACTTGATGCAACCTAATCCTTTATATTTTTAGATACTTTTTTTTTTGGGGGGGGGGGGGGGTGATTTACAGTAATTCCTAGCAAAAAAATACAGACTTTAACATGTGTGCAAAAAATTGCCGCAGAAGGCAATTGAGTAAAGTCCCTACCACCCCCTCTATCTGATTGAAGAATTAAAAATAAAAATAAAATCCCCAATCTAAATGCCCTTTTTTACTCACCTTAAGCCATGGCCATATGACACTCAACTCCTGAGCCTTCTCTTCTGTTTACTTCCTGCTCTTTAAGGTGTTCATGTCACTGTCTACATGATGTGGACACTACCTATAAAATGGCTGGTGGTGGAGTCCTCTTGGGATTGAGAAAAAAACTAACATCAGTACATTGGGATCAGCAGGGAACTGGTGGTCACAGCGCTGGATTGACTGTCCCCTGCACTGGAACCAATGGTGGCAAGAAATCTGAATGTAAACCTTAACCTTCCAAGTTAGGAGGGGAAAAAAGATAGGATGTGTTGGGGGGATGGTGGGAGGTAGCATTGGTAGAAAGTTAGCATCCTGGAGTGGGGCCTTCAAATGTAAACAGTATCTAAATGACCAGCTATGGTTTTAGTGTAAAATAAAACAAACATAAATAAAATATTTTGAGCAAAAAATAATAGTTCTTGCCTCTTACTAGGGACTCAAAAAGAGCTTAAATTGTTTTTCTACAGAACATTCTCAGAAACAAAATGTAAGCCCCCCCCACCCCCCGCTAGATTTGATTTATGAACATAGAGAATTATGCATTGAAAAAAAAAAAACTTAAAAAAACCTGTAAACATTGAGTAGTGTTAACTTGTTCTTGGTAGTGCTGCTATTCACAACTAAATCATATTTATTTAAAATGGATTTAACGGGCCTATATTATTAAGAAATTCCAACACCACTCATAAACCATATAAAAAAGCCATTTTATATAAAAAAGACCGTGGAGCTGTCAAAGCCACATTAGGAGATGAGAATAAATGTGTGACTCAATTTCTCTCCAGGAGAAAGGATCGTTTTAAGTCAGAATGAACATACCGCATCCTTCATCATTCTATTTTGGTGAATAAGAGTAAAACAGTCTATTTAAGACATCCATTTAAATGCAAATTTGGATATCCCAGGAGGAAATGTTAATCATTTACAAGGAAGAGAATCTTTAAGACCTTTCTCAAGGCAGAAATGCCAGTTGGTTGGCACACAAAGCAGAGCCAGGCTCAAGCATTGCCAGACTGACATAAAAACAGAGAACTAAGTTAGGGAAGAGCTAAAGATTTGCTTTAAAATAATGCCAAAGGAATGCTGGGCTTTATTTTTAAACTGTGGCATGCCAGGTTTAAACCCCTCTGCTCCTTCACATGCAGATGTGGAAATAAAACAGTATTCCAGTATCCCCTGAGAGCCTCTGCTTTTAAAGACCCGACCATCTAAAAAATCTTTGATTTTGAGCATTTAAAGTATGGATGAAAATTTAACAGGAGAGAAACAACATATATTTTCTTTTACAGATCTGCTTTAGAGATGCACAAAAGAACAATTTTTTTATAACTATAGGTTGAGGAGAAAATACAGTTTGTATATCATGGAGTAAAAATGATATACAATCAATTATAGTACACGAAGTAGGACAAATAAAAATATAGCTCATTAGATTAAAAAAAAGACACACTTTCAAATTTCACTTGATTTGTAGTCTGACTCTGGAGTTCAATCTAGCGGTTTCATTTTCCTTTTAAAAGGTTCAAAGAAATATTTTGGGTGCATTGACAAGCTAGCCTTACTGTGGGATCAAGGGAAGTAGCATGTGCTCTTCTCTCATTAGAGGGGAAAATATAAAGTCCAGTAAATAAGGAGACGTTTGTATTCTCAGCCAAAAGTGAAGGATTATGGATGAGGTTTTACTTTGCCCCTTTATACTTTCCACATCTATTGGTCTTCTTGCATTTTATGAGAGACCAACCTAGTCTCAGCCAGTCCTAATTGTGGTAATTATTGGAATTCTGATACAGGACAACAGAGCTTTTATTTCCATCTGGAAGGTAACTTGAAAGCAGGGATCTGAGAAAGTACCTGGTACCCAAGTCACAAAGCCAATGTTCTCTTCAAAGCCCCTTTTCCTCACTTTCTATTGGGGCATCATTTTGGTCAAAAAATAGATGCCCCATTTAGTGGGATAGCAGAAACATAGTCAGAGCCTGCAGTCTAACTGTATCTGAGTTCCAAGAAATCAACAATGCACATTCAGGTAGACATACTCATGCTACAGTTCTTTCTCCTAAGAACTGGTATTAATTCTTTTTGTTATGACATATGTATTTGTTTTTTTAACAGTCAGCCCACCCAATAGTGATATTTCAGTTTTAGGCTGAGTATGATGGGCTAAGACACCCAGTAGCTTATTACTTTTGGAATATTTAGTGCAGATAGTCCATTTCACAGTTCCTGGCTTTTATTTGCCCTTGACGTTTTGGTTTTCCCATTAATCCTAAGGGTTGTACCCCAGGATGGGGATGAAAACTAATAAACATTAAAAAAATCAATTCAAAGCCATTATAGTTTCCCTTAATTAAAGAGAAGACTACCTGCACATTTAAGAAGCAGCACACAAGAGTATATATTAAACTTTTTCTTTTATTCCATACTGCACTGCTCAAAAAGCCCCCTCTGAAAAATATAGAAGAATAAGTTCCATTTCATATGGGAAAGAATATTATTTTTATGTCAATTGCGGGGTCTTGCAGCAAAATTCACAATGACACAACAGTTTTTAAGCGAACAACAACAACAAATTAACTGAAATATACTGGATGGATGTCCAGCACACAGTGACAAGGTTACAGCACTTTAACCACTAGCCTACAGGGCACTTATACCCCCTTCCTGTCCATGCCAATTTCCAGCTCTCAGCGCTGTCACACTTTGAATGACAATTGCGCGGTCATGCAACACTGTACCCATATGAAATTTTTATAATTTTTTTTTAGACAGAGCTTTATTTTGGGGGTATTTAATCACCTCTGGGTTTTTTATTTTTTGCCAAACAAACCAAAAACCACTGAAAATTTTGAAAAATAAAAAAAAAACGCTTTTTTCTTAGTTTTTGTTATATAATTTTGTAAATAAGTGATTTTTCTCCTTCACTGATGTGTGCTAATGAGGCTGCAGTGATGAGCACTGATAGGCTGCACTGATGGATACTGATATGTGGCACTGAGGGGCATTGACAGATATCACTGATGGGCACTGAAAGGCAGCACTCATATATGGCACTGATAGACGGCACTGATAGGAAGCACTGATTGGCACTGATAGGCGGCACTGACTGGCACGGTTAGGTGGCACTGACTGGCGCTGTTAAGCGGCACTAACGGGCACTGATAGGTGGCACTGATATTCGGCACTGATTGGCAGCACTGATAGGTGGCACTGACTGGCAATCACTGGCACTGATAGGTGACAGTGAAAGGCAGCTCAGATGGGCACTGATATGTGGAATTGATGTGCACTAGTAGGCACTGATATGTGGCATTGATGTGGCACTGGCAGGTGGCACTGATGAGCACTGACAGCTGGCACTGATGGACACGGACAGGTGGCTCTGCTGGGGCTACACTGATCATCAGGACACACTGATCACCAGTGCCCTGATGATCAGTGCACATGTCCCCTCTGAGGAATGCCGATTATCGGCTCTCCTCTCCTCTCGAGCTGTTAGCGTGACAGCTCGTGAGGAGAGAAATGCCGATAACCAGCATTTCCCTATTTACATGCGATCAGCTGTGATTGGACACAGCTGATCACATGACTGAGCCGACATCTTCGGCTCTTTCCGTTGATCGGTGATCTGCTGTGTCCAAGGGACACAGCGCAGGATCACCACGCTGCGTGCCCCCGGAGCCGCGCATGCGCAGTTAGAATGGGAGGACATCATATGACGTCCTCCCAGAACGAGAGAACCGCCTTACCTTATATGGTAGGAGGCAGTTAAAAATAGCTGTTAATAAATGGTCCAACTTCCAAAAAGGTACTCCCCACTGATTAACAAATTCTTGCACATGGTCATGAAATCCAGGGTAAATCTGGAAAATAGCTACACAGTTTGAAACTGCTATGGAAGAGCGGATAAAGATCTCTGCAGGAAATGTTCCCACAGACAGAACAATGCTCAAAACTCAAATTTCCAGGTATTGGATGAAAATCATCAAACATGTCTGAATATCTTTAGATATTTAAGAGCTCATAGAAAAAAATAGTTTGGAAAGTTGTTAAACAAAATTGGGCACTTACCCAGCATTCCCATCCCCAACATGAATGCATCCATGGTATAGGGTAGTCCTCTCGCTCTTCCTCTTGTACCAGGGGGAAACATAACCTCTTTAGGTTGAGCTTTCTTACATTCTACCTACAGAGTAGAAATAATATACATAAGATGTAACTGCATTTCTTCCAAATGTAAAATAAAGCTGAAGGTAAAAAGTGATTTTTATAAGATTCTTGTTCTCATGTCATTGATAAAAAGAGTACATTTACTGTATACATAATAGCTGACATTGACCAAATATACTGCAAGTTACCTCATCAAATTACTGAAAAAAAAGAGACAGCCTATAGGTACTGTATATACGTAGTTACAGAAGTTCCAAATATGTTGATGTAAAAGTATACATGTTAAAGCGTATATGTAGCCAAACCGTCTATTCTTAATTTTTGGATAGAGTAGAGAAGAGATAAAATCCACATCAAGTTGTTACTTTTTAGAATTTGTCCTTGCCTCTGGTGACTTTTTGCATTTCCCGTCTCTTTCTGCCTCAGTGACAATGGTCACCAGTAAAGAATACAGGTTACCAGTACCAGTATGGTTGGGTTGCATAGGGGACACAGAGAGTAACAAAAGCTTCGCAAAGAGTCTCTATCCCTTCCCTACTCTATCAAAAAAGAGAGGTTCTGTGGACGTACATTAAGATGATACACAAATATACAGTATAAGTATATATATATATATATATATATATATATATATATATATATATAAATACAATCATCTTTTTATTACTGAGAATTCGGAATCTGCTGAATTACACTATCAAATGCTGTAACACCCTGAGAAGCATTACTTGTCAGGCAGTGTTTTTATTATATATTTATGTTACATTACTGTTTTACTATTGCTTCCTGCCAGGGATGCACTACCTCGTGGACACCTAATTGGACATGCCAGCAGATTTATGAAGCTCTATTTCACTGATGCAAATCCAACATAGAAGCTCTGCGTTAAAAAGCCAGTTTCATGACAGTGGTTTGGAGTGTGTCTGCAGCTTCCAAAGATCCAAGAGCTAGGTAGTAGTGGGTCACTTTCTCATTTTGCATGCGGAATGTTTATTTTTAAAGGAGGAGATTAATAGCTATGTAATGAGCAAGATGATATAAACCTTATCAACTGCAATTTACAGCACTTTTTAGTCTGAAAACATGATTAATAGACCAGAATCCAACAGACTTCTGTCAGAAAGCAAGATGGAATTGTAGACATGAGCATGCATTGTAGCAAGACAGTGATCTTATGTTAGCTTTTTGCTCGCCCATGCAGTATTAGCTGAATTTTTTGTTATCACTGCGCCAATGTGTCATCACTTCCACACTGGACAAACAGCAGGGAACAGATCATAGAACTTTGGTCTATCACTCGTGTGCTGAGAAAAAAGTAATCTGCTAGGAACCATTATGCTGTTTTCCATATAGAACTGTCCCAGTTTAATAAGAGGGCATCCTTTTTGTACCTGCTATTGTTCAGAAGAGAACAAAAAAAAATTCTGACACCACAATCATTTTCTTATCTGGTTCACCATAATTTCAGGTTTAAATGTCACTTTATAACAAGGCAATTACTGACTAGTGATCATTAGCAAGTCATCCGCATTCATAGTGTCTTGTGAAATAATACACCCTGTACAAGTGCTGAAAAGTCAGCTCTACATCTCTGAAGATTCTACATCACTGAAGATTCTTTTATCTACAGGTAGGAAAATGAACAGCAGCAATTGTTCCAAAGTATAATTTAAAACCTGAATTGTATAGATAGTAAGAAATGGGTAACAGGACACAATCAGCTAATATTTCTCTTGCAAAGGTGACCATGGTTGAGCAGATGTCTAACTACTCATCAGTTCCAGTAATAAAGCTGAAGGCCATAGATAAGTACGTCTTACCAATACAGTAAAGTGGGATACACACTGAGAAAATCGGATGAACGATCGTCTGATTTCCCATGAAGTTGTGTATCATGATATAACTGACAATGGTATTAAAACAGAGTTGCAGTCAGTTTTGTGTTTATTAAAAGTCAGCAGCTACAAAAACTGTAGTCTAGCGATGAGCTTACCTGTGCTGTCCCTTCTCTGCCTCTTTTCTCCACAACGCCGGCACCAAAACTGTGGGCACCAGGCTGTGACAGCTTGCGGCTTCACAGCCGGGTGCCCACTGCGCACGTATGAGTTGAGCTGCACATTCGGACTGGTCCGGTAGTCTTCTGGGACCTAAGAAGGTTCCCTGGAGATTGCAAGAGGAAGGAGAAGGGACAAGCTGCAGCGAACTGAGCCAAAAGTGGGAGCGGATACCTGTCAAAAAAAGGTATCACTCCCCCCCAAAAGGTGCCAAATATGGCAGTGGAGGGGGGGAGGAGGAAAATAAACTGAGCTTTCACTTTTGAGTGGAACCCCACTTTAACTTGTATGAAAATTCTCGGACAAAAGCAAAGTGCTTTCTTGTGTAGGATTTCTGTTTGTTTCCACTTTCTTCCAGGTTGTTCTTTGCTTCTGATCATGTGTGTTTTTTTCCTGTTTATTACCATACGATTACTGTACACATTGAGCGAAAATCAGACATTGTGTTCACATGCTATAAACATTTTCTAGCTGGTACCTTTGTGTTTTTTTTCATCTGAAGAGTCGGAGTCAGCTGTCGAAAGCACTGTACTAACGATCAGCTAATCGACCAATTGTTCCTCATACAGAGGTTTTCTCACGATTTTCTTATAGTATGTATCCAGCTTAACTCTACCTTGTCCTTGAAAAACTAGCACACAAGCATGACTTATTATAAGTTTTTTTCTTAATTTTGATGACAAGTGGTTGTGCTGCAAATGCTTTTCTTTTTAGTCCTCATTCACGCTGGATGTTTTTACAGCTGCTGTTTTTGGCTTTTGCCGTTTTTTTCTACATCCAGTAAACTCCCCAGCATGTTATCCTATGTGTACATGCACATATAGACTGTAATTAGCGTATTTTGGCAGAGGCATTTTTTGGCTGGAAAAAAACAAACTAGTGGGTTTCTAGAGTTTTGTAGGTGTAAAAACACTCTAATGCTGAAAAACGCAGCAAAACGCGGCATATACCGGCGTTTTTGGATGTTTTTTGAGTAAAAAAATATTTTTTTGTTGGTCAAAAAACACTAAAAAACACAAATGTGAAAAAATGTGGCAAAACACCACTAAAGGCTAGTGCAAAAATGTTAAAAAAACCTGAAAAACTCACGTTTTTAACGTGACTATACACAGCTAACGTTATCAGCATCATTAAAATGCCCAGTGTGCAAGGAGCCTTACTCTTTTTTCTTTATGGAAAATAACATAGCTATGGTTCATTTAAAGTAACTAGAAATGCTGAGTATTTCACCGCTACGCAGGCCAACTCTCCTCAAATCTGTTGCCCAGCTTGTTTTTATTGGGTACTGTATGACCCTACTGAGACTACAAAATAGTTCACATAGCTACAATAAACATTTACTTAAATGAGAACTATAGTCCAATGCTATTTTGTTGAACTTCTCCTATGGATCACAGGAGTGCAGTTCGTTCTGCACTCCTGTGACCCATTTTCATTCGAAAGTGGGCTGAAGTCGCTGTTGGCTGACGTCACAGAGCTGGTACAGCCTCTGAAAAGACCAAAATGCCTGGGCTGGCAGCTGGCTCAGCCTCTCAGCGAGCTGCTTCTGCCCCCTCTACAGCATAGTGCATCAGTGAGTGCTGGAGGGGCAGAGCAGAGAGCCAGTGATTGACATTCACTGGCTCTCTGCTCAGTGAAGGCTGAGAACTGAGCAATCAGTGGTGCTTGATTGCTCAGTTCTCAGGGCAGATTTGGCAGGGCACAAATGTAGCATTGGATTGATCCTGTATCCACCTAGGTGAGTAATATTTTTTTTTGACAACCCCAAGTTGGAAGATGGCAACTTAAAGGGTTACTGTACTTTTGTGGGAACAAAACACTGCAAATAAAAATAAAACAATATAGCATATACACAAGACATATTGTAACATCCCCTATTATTAAAAAGTACATTTCCTTTTCAGTGTGCAGAGCTGTAATTTTCTGTAAAATGCAATGTAGTATGGCAACCTGGAGGGGTTCTGTATGTAGAACATCCCCCCAAAATGTAATTTCCTGTTTATGTAAGTGACTCACTAATTTTTCCAGAAGTCTGCTCTAAAATACATATCAGATTTCAGGCATGCTTGGCTGCAACATACATTTCAGTTTTGAGAAGATACTCCCAGAGTTAATCACGTCTAAAGGGATTGCCACTTTTCTCTGCAGGTAAGTGCAGCAGCTGATTAATAATAAAAAAAAGTCACCCCCATTCACATTCACTTTGCACACAGACAAACAAA